AGAAAGGAACTGAACCCAAGCCCTTCTTGCTGTGGGGTGACAGCACTACCCACTGAACCACCATGCCAAAAAGATTCTGCTCAAAGTGTACTCTTATAGGTAGCATATTAGTCTCATCCAATATTTGAGTGATATCAAGAAAGGGAACCAATGCATCAATGCAATTCATATTGTTGCTGTTGGAACAAAACCTTGTATCTGCACTCTGTAAAAAACAAGTTCAAAAAGTTATTAATGCTTTTTTTTTATTATTGTTATTTTAACCCAGTTATCTCCCCGATTCCACCCGCTAGTTAGGACTCCCCCAATCACACAATACTATCAACGCTAGGAGGGTGAAGGCTAACACAGGCTTCCTCCGAGACCTGTGAAACCAGCCACTGCTTCTTTTCGAACTGCCGTACATTCAGTATACTTTCATTTAGCCAAGATGCTGTTGGACGTTGCTGTCAAGACTAATATTCCTAGTGAACCTGCCCACAGGTTGATCTCTTTTATGTGTTAAAGAATGAATGACAGTAATAGCTCAGCATCGTTAGTTTGGGTTGCTGACGCCTGTTCCCCAGACCCGTCCCCCCAGATCTCCTTGGAACATCTGCCCCCTCGTTAGCCCCAAACCTGTTGCTTGTTGTGTTAGTTTATCTCTGATTTTGTCCTTTGGTGGTTTGGTGGTCATGTAAGCTATGTTAGCGCTATCTTAGTTTACAAGTGTGCCTCGATAGTTCTTCTGATTTTGGACTTTTACCTGCCTTTGTTTGTTGATGACTGGTTGATGTATTTGCCTGTATTTTGCCCGTCTGCATTGATCTTGATTCCTGCCTCTTGAAATTCATCCAGCAAAATTAGTTTTCTGACTTTAAATGATAGATAATATCGCTAACTAGCTAATTTTCACTGAAAATTTTCGGTTTGGGAACCAAAAGAGTCGACTCCTATTGGTGAGCTCAGCAGATTGATTTAACACACTCAAAAATGATCCAGAATGCAACACAATCAGTACTTTACATCAATTAATCATTACACAAAAATTACATTCAGTGCAATCATTGCACTCCAAATGGACTTTAACCCTTCTGTTGCTGCCATGCCTGTCAAAGGGTCCAGAGATACTATCTCAATGGGACAAACCTTCATCCTCCCCCCCAACAGGGCTAAATGTGATCATCCTAGCCGTGATGTCATTCGCAAAAAAGCATAAATTGTATAAAATGTATAAAAAAGTATTGCCAAAAAAAAGGTCCCAAACATTCTAATCAGTATCCTTTTGCGTTATGGATAGAGTCATAAAACTGACATAATATCAGGTTTAGCTCAGCTTTTTTAAATTTCCAGATTAACTTGGAAACAAGATTAATTCCATTTTGTTCCAGACAGTCTGTAAAGCATTTTAGAACTCATCATGTTTGCTGACTTGTGTTCTGTTTGTTTACGGCAATTTCCAGTTTGTTGTTTGTTTAGTAGTCAGAGCTGCCAACTGACAAGCTTGCTTGGGGGCAATGACAGGTTCGAAATTGGATGATGTTCTTTATAATCTGACCAGACAGGCTTTAGTTCAAATATTTTATATATATATACATATGCATTGTAGAAATTATCTGATGTATCCATTTTCTGTTTTTGTATGTGCTAAAGTAACTCATAATTGTTACAACAATTAGCCACAGTGTAAACGAGTGGCTATTTAGCAACCGGTGCTCAGTGGAATGACAGTCATTTTGAAAAAATGCTGCTCAACCAATTACATTGTGTCGTTGGAACTTACTGTTGTAATAAAGGTATTAATGTGCATTTAGTTGCTCAGAAGGCTATTAAATCAGTTTTCACCTTTATTTATACACATTATATTTCCAAAAGTATGTACACCTCTTCTAAATAGTGAATTCAACCACTTGCATCCATTGCTGACAAAGGAGTTCAATTCCACACATACAGCTTGTATGACCAGCACATTAGCCTGAGGTCACCATGTTTAATGCCAAGTGTTGGCAAGAGGGGTATAAAGCATTCTCCCCCCAGCATTCTCAGGAGTGATGGAGCTCCATTCAGTATCTTTAGGATGAGTTGGAGTGGCATTTGTGATCAAGATCTCACTAATGATCTTGTGGCTGAATGCAATCAAATCACAGCAATGTTCTGACATCTGGCCTTCCCAAAAGAGTAGAGAATGTTACTGTAGGAGAGGAAAAATTAATTTTAGAAGAAACATTGGATAAGCAGGTATCTACAAACTTTTGGACATATGTGTTTATTTTTATCTATAAATATTATACATTTTTATTAAAGCATTTAGTCAGAATGACTCTGCATTGTGACTAAAGTTATTGGATTTCACTGGGGAGTGAAACAGAGGAAGAAGAACAAGGTCTAACCTTTAATCTAACATTTAATCAATATAACAGTTACTGTGTGATAAAAGCTGATAATAAGATGATGATATCATGACAAAGAAAAAAGTAACGGGAACATTGTTTATATTTTTTAAACATGAACAATGATCACAAGTTTCTGTTTCTGTCCTGTTCAGTGTGACTTGACTACAACAATAGTCTTGGGCAGGCTTCAACATGAATCCCATGAAAATGACTAACCAACTCCTCCACTCCTTACACAAGTAAATTTGGTGGGAGAATGGAGAAGCAGTGTGTTTACTCAGTGAGCATGAAAAACCTGCTGTGATCTAATCATATTAAATATTGCATTACAAATAAACTGCTCAGCATGTTAAAGTAGGCCTGTTGAATGTGGAACACATTACAAAACACTGTGAATAGCTGACACTGCAGCTCCTTTCTCCAAGGTATTAGCGAATTAAACACAGCTATTGTGCTGCAAATTAGGCCTGTTAAATGTGAGACATTACAAAACAATATAAATATCTGACATTGCAACTCCTTTTTCCAAGCTATCAGTGATAAAGTGTATCACAATTTATTCATATCTACAAATACATATACATATATACAAATATAAATAATATTTGTGATGATTAACTACATATGTGAACCTTACAACTGTCAGAAATTGTTCTAGGATGGCACAAGTTGTCAAAGGATGCAGCATTTTAACTACTACAAAGAAAAAACACACTATACTAAGAATATCATCATAAAATATTATAGAACAACAATTAAACTCGTCGTGTGATGTTTTCAAGTTACCAGCTGTGACTTTTATTGTATCGGCAGCTATGTGATCCATTTAGTTTCCCCTGAACTGTTTATTGGAGAAATACTTAGACAAACCTGAATTCAACTCCAGCCTAAATTATAGTTTAATATGCTATTTGTCATCTTATGTAGTATTATATGCCTCAGCATCATCAGTCTGACAGAATTTACAATTTCACATTGTTTATATAGGTTTGTTCATCAATAATTCAGGGCAGACAATATGGCAAACATATAATATGATACGCAGAGGCATTTTCACAACACACAATACGTATCACAACATTTTGCTTTTTCTGAGGTTTCATAGAAACAGAAAAAGTCGCAGCAGTGTTTGATATATTTTGCTAAATTAAATTTAGTTAAACAGCACTAATGATGCTCTCTTTGTAATGAAACATGCAGCTGGTTAATGTCCTTTAATTACTGACGATATCCATGATATCCTCAGAAAAGAACATTGTGATGGAATTTGTCATGGTAACAATAAAACATTGTCATATTACCCACCCCACCCCTTGAATACCCAGCATGTATTACGCAAATGCATCACACCTTTAGGAATCTCTGCGGTGTCAATCAATCATATCTGCTAGCCTAGCTGCTGATTTATGAGCTAATACATAAAAACAAGCAATCATTAGTGTAGCTCTTACTTCACCTGTTGAACAAAACTGTGAAGAAAACAAGGGATTATGTCTTCATTTAGCACAGAATGGATAAAGAAAAGAGAAATTTCAGAGAAAAGACGCTAAACTAAGGTACGATATCTAGATAGCTTGTTGTCCTCCGCATCTGACAAGTCATTGTCATTTAACTAATTCATTCTCTCCATTTAACTGCAATTATGATGTGAAGACTACAGTTATACAGCTGCAATACTATATATTTTCACAAAATAAATAAATAAAAGCCATATAAAAATCCACCCAAAAGTAGTTTCAACGCTCCTTCCACCTTCAACATACATAATAAGGGAGTTTTCCTAATCTTTGACCCTAAAAAATTCGCTCTGGAGACTCTGGCACCGCTGTAGGATGTGAGTAAGCATGTTTACAACAGATGGTTACATTTTTAATTGTAGCTGGAGTCAAGTCTCCCTCTGCTATAGCCCAGAACCACAACCACCAACCTACTCAATTACTGCTGTGCCTTCAGACTGTGGGTGGGCAACATGACAATGTTTTATCATGTTATTCTGAGCATATCATAGTACTTACACAACACTGTACGGAAGTCCAGAGCGGCCATGAGGTAGTTACAATTTTCTAGATTGTTATTTTGAGATAACAAGTTACTTATCTTGTTATGTCAAGATAACAAAGTTGCCTGTTTAACTGGATTTTATGAAATGCAGTGTGTGAAACACTGAATAAAACTTGTTGTAGTTGTAGGTTTATTATTATTATGATAATATTTTTATGTGTGGTACTACAGGTTCTTTTTTGCCTGTTCCAACGTATTAAATCTCAGAAAAACTAAATATCGTGATGCATATCATGTATCGTGAAAATGAAAAGTATCGTGATATAACATTTTTTGCAAATTGCCCGCCCGTAGGTGAGATATGAAAACTGAGCAGCTGATAAGCCTAATTTTCAGACTGTTGTCACTCCGGGTGGTTGGGTGGAGATGAACATACGCACTGCTTGAACAAAGACACTCATTTTGCTCTTCTCTTTTCTTTCCTTTCCTTTTTAATATCTTGGTCTGACCTTACAGTATGGGCTGATTCAGTGTAAACCGCCTGTTTACAGTCACAGATTTCAGTCCGGTATCGCCTGGGCTCATGTGATTGGACGACACAATGCCCCGCCCACCCGCTGCCAGGGTTGGTGTTTATATAACCACAACACAATCCCCCATTTTTGTTTTCGTCCGAGTTTTTGGTTGACGAAGTTAAGCTGGTTCGCTCAGCTGTTCGTTGTGTTTTATGTATCGGAGCCTGTCGACTGAAGCTGAAGTCATGTTTCTGAAGGTGGTCGTCCCTCTCGTGGCCCTCTGCCTGGCCGTGGAGAGCGGAATGCCGGGAGCGCCGGTGGATGTGGACTTGGCAGACCCGGGCGTTCAGGATGCCCTGCAGTTCGCGGTGGCGCAGCACAACAGAGCCAGCAACGACATGTTTGTCAGTAAAGTTTCCAGGGTGATCAGTGTTCAGAAACAGGTACGAATATTTACAAATTTTTACGTTATGATATTTGCCAGAACATCGTTAAAACGTCACCACAGCAAGCGACCTCGGCAGAGAACCGCGGGGGGATATTTCACAGTACAGTCAGCCGAATAACTGGCTTCCTATTCCCCAGCTTTCTGTTCGAATTTTCCCGTTCCACCTTAAATGGAGCAGCAGTTACGGCGCCAGAGTGTAAATGCTGCACAATTTAAGGTAGAACGGGAGAATTCGAATAAGCAGCTGACTTCAGCTTCATGTCAAATAATGTAAGCCTAAAGCTATATGGCTAGCTAAGTCTCCCCTGAAGGAGAAGGGCTGAGGGACATTCCTAACCAGAGGCTCATCGCTTTTAGCTTTACTTATCGAGTTTATGGAGAAATCCAGCTTTATCAAAAACCTGCCTGATCACATGGACGGGTCGATACCGCTGTCTCATAACACATAAGCTATGTTGACGACCAGTTAGATAAAAATAGTGTTGCTAACAGTCACAGGAAAGAACTGCAGTATGTCAGTACGACTAACAAGATGAATATAGTGTCAACTTTCCTCTCACAGGCTCTCAAGCCCTTCTTATTGCCAGCTTTCTGTGAAAATAATAGGCTCCTTGTATTTATTGGCCATGGGACTCTGCCAGTCCTCCACTGGCTCCTTTCAGACATCACTCTGTGTAGCCCTTTTGTCATGCTGTAGTTTTCTGCACTGGCTGTCAGTCACCTTTTCACACGAATGACTGTGAAAAATCTTTAAATTGTCCTCTGGTTAGCAGTGTTAGCTGCTTCCTTGCATAACCGCAAACTGTGCTGCTTACTTAGGGCTGTGTCATTTAGTTTCAGACCAGAGTGGCTCTAAGAGGATAACGTACTGGTCTGTCATGCTAAATGTTGGAATTTGACTTGTAGTGTCATGGTTAAACAACAGGAATTGTCAGGAAATCCCACAGATGACCACTGTTACATCAATACCACAAAAAAGCATAAACTGCAGACGGCTTAATGATATGGTGTAATGAACCTTTCCACGGCCTCCTTCTCCAAGAGTAAACTCACTCGTGTGGTCCCTTTTTCCTGAATGACGCGTCCATCTAAATCTGCAATACTGTTATTTTATTTGCTCGTAGGTTGTTTCTGGAATGAAGTACATCTTCACCGTTGAGATGGCCAGGACTTCCTGCAGGAAGGATGGTGTTGAGGAAGACTGTCCAGTCCACTCAGACCCAGCTCTTGCAAGTGTAGGTTATGCATTTGCTTATAACTGATTACATATGCTGTTTCCTAGCCAGGCTAGACATGTTAAGTTAACACATCTGTTTTGTGTCTCTTCTCTTAAGTCCCATGAGTGCAAGCTTGCCGTCTGGAGTCAGCCTTGGACGAAAACCATCAAGGTTGTTGAGAATACCTGCAAGTAGAGCTCTGATACCTTGCAGCACATTTTCTCCCCTCTCCAGTGGAATCAATAAAACCTTAACTTTAGGACGTTTTTACCTAATTTGAATGTGCTGAATGCATCCAATATCTTCAGCTTGGTTGTAATTGGTTAAAAATGCTTTGACTAACTCTTTCTCCTGTAATCACCCTAAAACAGGTTTTCACTTTTTGTATAATTAAAAATGAATGTACTGAAAATATTAAGATTTGACAGTTAGATTTACTATTAAAAGATTGCTATAAAAATATGTGTGGTACATTTATCATATTAAAAGCCAAGATTGGGGTTAATGCTTTAAGGATCTTTTGCAGCATACAGAAATTTAAACATAAAAATGATATATAAAATAATGAGGTACTTATTGCACCAGAGCATGTTTATTAAGAGTTCTTGTAATATAGCACATCTGCTCCTTCTCTGATAATCGGATAACGTTAAAAACTCTAGAATCACTGGATCAGGTATGTCTGGAAATTCATGAAAGAGCCTATATGTGAACATCTATTTTCATACAGTATTTATATGCTCCTTTATTGGCAACAATTTACAGAAACTTGGTCAAAGAAGGTAAAGGAAATGAATCAAAATGAACCAAGCCTGGCTTGGTAACTGTCTTAACATTGCTATGAAAAAAATGGTGTAATACTATGAGAGAATTTATTTTGTACCACGATGGTACTGTATATTTTGCATGAAAGTTATTGTGGTCCAAATATGTAACAGAAAACAAAGTTAAAATTTGGTTATGGAATCTTTTTTTATTCATAACTATTCTTCTGCAAAGACTTTCAAGCTACTCATGATAAGCCATCAGCATCTCTCTGCAAGTTCAATACAACTTTCTGACTATAATGAAATTTTTTTCAATATAATTTCAGTACAGCTTCAAAATGTGTTGTTCTTAAAGTCACTACAGGCAAGGGGATGTAAGCACAAGTCTATTTACCTAGGATGATTTCTCAACTCACAGTTCTTAGTGATAGTCATAGTAAATAGTGTAAATCAGTGTTCCTCAATCTGAGGCGTTGAGACTCTTGAGACTGAGACTCGCAAAAACCCAGTGTTGAATAAACACATACTAAACCGTTTGTCTAAGTCAATGTGGACACAAATGAAAAGCTCATTCAACATAGTTTTGCCTTTGTATGCTGTAAATTCTACACACGTAAATGTAAAGTACATTGAATACACACATACTCACACTTTTTCTAAGCCACTTATCCTCCTGGGCCGCAGGTACTTTTGACTTAAAGGTTGAATTAGTTCATTTTATGCACTGAAACGCAACTAATCTCTTTGAAAGAATAACAAAGATGTGTTGACGACTGATTAACAGCTTCGTAAATAACTATTGTAAGAAAAAGGACAGATGCTTTCATGAGTAAACCCCCTAACCCCCCAACTAACCCCCAACAGTATTCATCTTGCACTTGGCTTAGAAGATAAACACTGGCAGAAGTTTAGGGCTGCTATTCAAGTGCCAGCTTAACAATATGTTGAAGTTGTTCTGGTAGTAACTACACTGTTGTTACAGAAGTGGTCACATTATTGAAAGTGAAACCTTTTGTTTTCCTTCATAAAACAATGAGCAATAAAATCAATAGAAAAGCAGGCTGACAGCTAGTTTTTAGATTGTTTTATTTTACAATACACTTGTTTTGCCAATGTTTACAACTTTTAAACACATTAAACATTAGCTTACATGGTACAAATCTAACCCACGTCTTAGTTATTTCATACGAGTTGCATAAAGAAAATGAAATTCCAGATCGTTACTGTCTTTTTCATCCCATATTTTCTGTACAAATTACAATGGTCGAAAGGTATGCTCAGCTTTATTTTTCTTTTGTTAATGTTTTTTAATTATACACTTCACTTATCTGAAACTACAGTTCCTAATATGCCTGTTTTTAACTTATGAGCACCTTTTGATAATGTTTTGCCAGAAAAACAAAAATATTTTTTCCAAAATTAATAATTACGAAATTAATAGTAAACTACTTCCTTGCATCAACAAGTGTGAATCTTTTGCACACTTTAAAAAATTAAATAATTCTTCAGTGAGCATTTTCAACTACTGAAGATAGTAAATGACTGATGATTATGAAAATATTGCTTCAGTCCTTGTACATTTTTATCTAAATGCTGCATTTGATGTAGGCCCAACAGATTGTGAAATTCTCTTAAACTGCCTTAAATTGAGTTGGCTTCTCAGAAAATGTCCTAAAGTAGTTTGGAAAATATTATTAAGTTCAAAAATATCTTGTAATTCTAAATCTTTCAGTCCATTTCTTTGGAATATTTTCTGTATGGTGGACCACATGGTTCTGTATTAGGTCAATTTTAATTGTCATTGTACATGCTACTATTATCATTTTAAAAACAGGGATGATCATGACAGACTACATTCGTACATTCGTTTTGCAAACAAAATATGGAGGGTGTTTTAGGGGTCTGGGACCTGAATGGAACAGGGAATGGTACATAAGTATAAGTACTGACAAGGATGGGAATGTGAAGGAAGATCGGTCCTGGAGCTGGTCTGGTTCAAGGTGGAGCAGGAGAGCTGGAGAGGCATCTTTGACTGCAGGCAGGGAGACTAGAGCTGCCTCAAAGAGGTGAAAGAGGGGCATCTGTAGGCGCATCAGCATCTTTAACCATCGAGTCAAAGGGCTCAACTGCATAAGTCACCAATCTTGGGGGGTCAGGAGAACTGCCTCTGTTCTTAAGGTTATCAGCCCACTGCCTCCACTGTTCTCCACTTAAAAAGGGATCACATGTACACTCCACTTTTACAAATTTTGGTGGTAACAGTCCCTCGGATATCTAAAATAAATGGTGCACTTCAAGATGAAAGTCTGAACAATAATGAGACAAAATTTTATTGTAAGCTATTTTGGATGGTTTCCATTGGTCCATTCATCATTTTGTCACAGTGTAAACAGTAGTGTGAATATGGTAGTAGACTAGTTATCTCCTTGTTTATAGACCACTGTAGTCGTAGGTCATTCTGTAGGCTCTGCTATGCCCATATTAGGAACTCTGCGTCTAAGCTTGCATTCTCTATGGCCAAAATGAATGAGGTTTTCGAAAAAAGGCCTCTGTTGCACGCTGTGGTAAATAAAAATGTTCCGAACCCCATACATTTTTTTCATAACGGTTTTCGAAAAAAGGCCTCTGTTGCACCCTGTGGTAAATAAAAATGTTCAGAACCCCATAAATTTTTTGTCCTGTGTACATTTTTCTCCCGAATATCACTGGATCCTCTGAATTACAAGGTCGTTAAAGAGCCTTAATAATAATATTGCTATCCATTTCATGTCTCTAGGATACATGAAAGTAAGGTGAGCTGTGGCGGTGTTCTGACAAGTTGTACTACCTTATCAAAAGTCCTAACGTAGCACATTTTTATAGGTATGTTGTAAATAAAACCTCTAGGTAGGATATTTTGATAGCCTAAAACTCACCATGCAGCTTCTTGACTGAGTTTTCTCGTTCCAGCTTAAATGGTGCAGCAGTTGTGGTAAGCTGTCATAAACATTAGCAAACAAGACAAAACAATACTGACAACTTGGTAAGCAAAAAGAATAAAAGTTGCTCTGCTGTCAAGTAGAAACAGAGCAACCTGCTCATATCATGCCTTTCAACCTCCCATAAAGCTGAAGTCATCTGCTTGTTTGAATTTTCCCGTTCCACCTTAAATGGTGCAGCAGTTACATTCTAAACTGCAGCATCATTTAATGTGGAACAGGAAAATCCAAACAAGCAGCTGGTGAATGTCCTGAAAAAATGTCTTCAGAAAATGTTACCAGCATTAAAATAATAATTAGGATATTTTGATTGCCTAAATGAGCTTATCAGGGGGTGAGCAGTAATATTAAATTCAGTCTACACTGAGTTAGCCTGAGTGCAGGTAAGTTTGTAGAGCTTTTCAAGTCAAGCTATGAACAGTATGGGAGGGAAATCCAGCCAAAAAAGATATAATTAAACCAATAAAATGTAAATGCAAACCTCTTTTTCTTCTTCTTGGTCTTATGTTCAATTACACCAGATCTGAGACATGACAATGGGTTTTCTGAGACTCTACGTCGTTTAGTCCGAGGAGTGATTCCGTTCTGTCTGGTGTCCGAGTAATTAACATATATCTGCGTGTTGGTTATCTTGAAAAAGAAAAAGCAAAGTGGGAAATGAAAAGTAAATCACCAGCAGGTGGCGCCTGTGTCAGTTTGCGTTTTGGCTTTTTATTCACGCACTTAAAATGCATCCATGCCGAAAACTGAATCACAAACTGTCACATTGCTGTTGATTTATCCATTTTGCATTTTCATTTTGTCAGATATGCAGCCTATTGATATGAAGAAGAAATAATAACGTAAACATTGCGTTTTGACTTTAGTTTTGACATGTGTTATGCATTTCGTGAAAAAGGCAAAGCCAAAGTGAAGCTTGGATTTTCATTTCACTGTTAGCTTTTCCATTTTAGATACAGCCATGAAATACCAGAATAATGACTACAATTAAATGACAAATAGCTGTTTCAAGTTAATGTATTTACTTATTTATTTATTGTCACAATAACTCGTGCTCATGTGAACAACTGAATTTCAAATGTAGGTATTTCATTTCATTTTTAAGCATTTTTGATTATCACAGGATCTCTTCTCATAGAGATGTTCATTTTAGACCCGGAGCTCCTTATATGGTCAGAGCGGGTGGCGCCGACTACAAAATGACGACACGATTGACGGTGGTCCGTACCACCATAACAAAACCCTCCTCCTTTTACTTTCGTCGGAGTTTTTGGTTGACGAGGTTCAGCTGGTTCACTCAGCTGTTCGTTGTGTTTTATATATCGGAGCCTGTCGACTGAAGCTGAAGTCATGTTTCTGAAGGTGGTCGTCCCGCTCGTGGCCCTCTGCCTGGCCGTGGGGAGCTCGAGTCTCGTCGGAGCGCCGATGGACGGGAACCTCTCTGACCCGGGCGTTCAGGATGCCCTGCAGTTCGCGGTGGCGCAGCACAACAGAGCCACCAACGACATGTTTGTCAGTAAAGTTTCCAGGGTGATCCGTGTTCAGAAACAGGTACGAATATTTACAGATTTAAACTTAAGTTTATTTTCCAGAGCAGCGTTAAAACTTCAGCAGAGCAAGCGACCTCGGCAGAGAACCGCGGAGGGATATTTCACAGTACAATTAGCCGAATAACGGTCTTCCTATTCCCCAGCTTTCTGTTCGAATTTTCCCGTTCCACCTTAAATGGAGCAGCAGTTACGGCGCCAGAGTGTAATTGCTGCACCATTTAAGGTGGAACGGGCGAATTCGAATAAGCAGCTGACTTCAGCTTCATGTCGAATAATGTAAGCCTGAAGTTAGTTAGCTAAGTCTCTCCTGAAGGAGGAGAAGGGCTGAGGGACATTCCTAACCAGACAGTCTGGACAACCTTGTCACAACCTTAGTATTCAGGATTGTCAGATATTGTTATGACTGACTGTTGGCAACCAGGCAAAGCTCCATGGAGTTCCATGTACTTTCTATATATTTAATTATATACTCCAATGTAGATTTTTAGTTCAATATACAGTCATTTAATATTTTATAAATCAATAAATGTTGACACGTGATGTTCTACAGCAGAACTACTCCCTGCCCAAACACACCTAATCCACTTCAGGAAGAACCTGTTATTTAGCAGGTGAGCTGGATCAGCTGGGTTGGGGCAGAGAATGGTTAAACCTATAAGACAGCGAGCCGCCAGGAACAGGATTAACAAACACTGCTGTTGAAATATCTTTATAAATAAATAATTTATTATTGTGTATTTTTATTAATAAATATGCTGAGGTGTTTGAAAAGTCCAGCAGCTACAATTAAATATATGAATTTGTAAAATATTTTATGCATTTAATGAGCCGTTTCCATCACATTATGCTGCGCAGAAGACATCATATACTTTCAACCTGATGTGTGCCCTTTCCACACTGTCAATGTCTCATACTACCTTTATATCTGTATCATTTTCTTTGCAGGCGAAGTTTTTGAGCACTTTTTTTCTTATAAACATCGTTGACTATAAAACGTCATTGAGAGCTATTTAAATGATTTATCTTTAAACTATCTAAAGCTCAAAGCACTTTATTATATATACCATGCACTAAAGGAAATACATTTCTTTGCAGAATTCTTGTTTATGTTGATTATTATAAAATAATAAATAATTTTCTGAAAAATGACGTATTTTGTCAGATTTTATGTTGGCTGCCATTTTATAAAAACAATAAGCCTCCTGAGGCTGTGCGTTACTCCACTTTGCGTGGTGCCTAAGAACACCCTTTCCGTGATAAAATCGCAGTAACGCACGGCCTCCAGTGGCTTATTGCTTTAACATAACTTCCAGGTCAATAATGCCTGCTGATAAAATTTAGAAAGATTAATGGGCAACTTTGGAATTGAATAATTGCACGACACCTTTAGTTAAAACGACTTTCCCTAAAAATGTCAAACCTCTTTGAAGCCAATTATTAAATATCATTTAGCTTTAGAAACATTCTTGGAAATAGAAATGCCAAGATACTTCACTTTTATCTCAACAGGTATATTAAATAATGAAGTTTCATGACATTTATAGAAACATAACATTTCACACTTTGACAAATTTATTTTTAACCCAGATTTTTGCCTCATAAAACCTATTAATCAAAGATATTGCTGAAGAAATTTGATGTTTATCTTTCAAAAAGAGAACAGTGTCATCAGGTTGGGACTTTTTTAATGCTTATATGAAATAGATTTACCTTAAATATCTGGGGAATTCAACATAATTACAGAAAGCAGTTCTACTACAATAAGAAACAGGACAGCCTCGGCGTATCCCCCTGCAGATCAGAAATCTTTGGGTACAGAATAACTGAACTATTAATGTCTCTATGAAACATTTCAATAATGGAAATGATTTTTTTCCAAAGCCAAATAACCTCAAAGCACTGAAAAGAAACAGCTGTATCGAAGGCTTTACAGAAATCCAAAAAAATAATTCATGCCTCAGATTGAATGTGGTTACAGTAATCTAAAAGGTCCAAAATCTGACTAATATTACAGCTTATATGCCTGATGGCCATGAATCCTGTCTGACATTCATTTATATTTTCATTTGGGTGGTTTTTAAACGATTGGCATATGTAAGAGTGAAATCGTATTGTCTACATTTAATGAAGTCATGGATCGCCATTGATCTAAAAAAGTGTCTCTTTGTGAGATTTAAGTAGTAACGTTATAATTCCCTGTTTCATAAAAGTAGACTTCTTTTTTGTTTTTTATGCACTTCACAAACATTTGAAATAAGAGCTTTGTATTTATTGGCCCTGGGACTCTGCAGGTTTTCTGCACTGGCTGTCAGTCACCTTTTCACACGAATGACTGTGAAAAACCTTTAAATTGTACTCTGGTTAGCAGTGTTAGCTGCTTCCTTGCATAACCGCAAACTGTGTTTACTTAGGGCTGTGTCATTTAGTTTCAGACCAAAATGGCCCCCACAGGATGAAGTGGTTGGTCCGTTCGGTTAAATGTTGGAATTTGACTTGTAGTGTCATGGTTAGACAAGAATTGTCAGGAAATCCCACAGGTGACCACTGTTACATCAATGCCACAACAAAGCATAAACTGCAGACGGCTTATTGATATGGTGTAATGAACCTTCTCCAAGAGTAAACTCGCTTGTGTGGTCCCGTTTTCCTGAATGACGTGTTCATCTAAAAGCAGTACTTTTAATTTTTTTGCTCGTAGGTTGTTTCTGGAATAAAGTACATCTTCACCGTTGAGATGGCCAGGACTTCCTGCAGGAAGGATGGTGTTGAGGAAGACTGTCCAGTCCACTCAGACCCAGCTCTTGCAAGAGTAAATTATGCATTTGTTTATAATGGTTTATATATGCTGTTTCCTAGCCAGGCTAGACATGTTAAGTTAACACGTCTGTTTTGTGTCTCTTCCCTTAAGCTGCAAAAGTGCAAGCTTGCCGTCTGGAGTCAGCCTTGGATGAAAACCAACAAAGTTGTTGAGAATACCTGCAAGTAGAGCTCCTTTACCATGCAGCACATTTTCTCCCCTCTCCAGTGGAACCAATTAATCCTAAGTTTTTACCTAATTTGAATGTGCCGAATGCATCCAATATCTTCAGCTTGGTTGTAATTGGTTAAAAATGCTTTGACTAACTCTTTCTCCTGTAATCACCCTAAAACAGGTTTCCACTATATGTATAATTCAAACCAAATGTACTGGCAGTTTGATGTACTATTAAAAGATTCCTGAAAACATATGTGGTACATTTATTGTATTAAAATTCAAGATGGAGTTGTTGTTGCTCATTCTGTCTAGACTCATTAATAAGAAGGCTCACGCTAAAGGATCTTTTGCAGCATACTGAAGTTCATAAATAATGATATGTAGAATAATGAGGTACTTATTGCAATGGAGCATGTTTATTAAGGTCTTTTGTAATATAACACATGTGCTCCCTCTCTGATATTGGGGTAATGTTAAAAACTCTTGAATGGCTGAATCAGGTATGTCTGAAATTGAATGATATAGTGTTCATGTGGTCCTTTAGTGACAACAATTCACAGAAACCTGAATAAAGAAGGTTAAGGAAATGAATCACAACTGGAATCAAGCCTGGCTCGGTAATTGTCTTGACACTGCTATGAAAAAAAATGCTGAAGTGCTATGAGAGAATTTATTTTGTACCACAAGGGTACCTTATATGTTACATGAAAATGATTGTGGTTCAACTATGTACCCGAAAAGAAAGTTCATTTTTTTAAAGGTTTGGTTATGGAATCTTTTTTTTTTTCATAGCGATAGTTCTGGAAAGACTAAGCTACTCATGATAAGCAATCAGCATCACTCTGCAAGTTCAGTAGAGTTTTCTGACTGTAAGAGAGTATAAGAGGGAAACCGGGCCATCTGTGAGGGCACCAGCATCTTTAACCACAAAGTCAAAAGCCCTTGTTAAAGTCACTCAGGCCTTTCTCCCACATCCAACACATAGACTACAAGAGCCAACTGTTCACTTACCATGTAATATACCCAAGACCCTGACATGCGCTGTTGTTACGAGAATAACACTGTTTGCCTTGTCTGTGAGTGATCATAATGTTTTTGCTTATCAGTGTATAGTAGTTAAAAAGTGAAAAACTTGATAATAAAAATGCGAGTGAATGTTTGAATGTAAAACAACTCATTCTGTAAAAGATGGCATTTTCATAATATCTTTGGACTGTGTCACTTATTTGAGGAGCAGATGGAAAACAACATTGAGAGGGGAATTCCACTGATTTTTTACAAAATGTCTGTGTAATTCGACTGTCTTTCAAAAGTTATTCAAAGTGCTCTAACAAAAAAGTCCTATGGTGTGGGTGTGGTATTCCTGTGGTACTGCCAAAATACAACAAAACATTATAACACAACTTTTTGCACACAGCTGATTATGACAGGATAACCACAGCCCTCCCGGTTTTAGCTTATTACAGGAATTAAATGACTTGCTGTAATCTTGTGGTTCTTGTGTGATATTTCCAAAAGTACATTTACCAACATTAGACTTGCTGTACTTTAGTTAATTGTTAGTGGAAGACTATTACAGAAGGGTGCTTACAGTAGCAAAAGAAAAAAACAATTCTTTAACCATTTACAGTACCTTAAAATGTGTACACTCATTATCTTTCATCATTTAAGTCACATGGTAGAATGACTTCTCATTTATCATCGCTCGAAAATGTCACAGTCACTGTCAGTTACATCCTTGCTCATTTCTGGAAAACATGCCATGACTAATGCAAAGCTGCTTTTTGATCTTAAATTAACAGTACATACAGCTGCCTAACATCAAAGCTGGGTACTTTAGAGACGGCTGACAACCAAGACTGAAAAAACCCTACAGATTTGCAAGCAATTACAGTTTAATATTAAATGCAGTTATTAATGGTAAATACATGTTTACATACTCGATTTAAAATCTTTCTCTGTTTGTATACTGTTTTGTCTTTTCGGCCCTCGGCCCAGCACAAATGTTGCACTTGTGGGCACCCCTGAACTAGATGAAGCTGTGGTATGGCTCTTGTCTCTTAATGACAGATTATAAGTCTTACAGTATCTCCAGGTACTTGGTTTAAAACACAAACAATAGTAAATGTATTTAAGTAGTAGCACGGACCGGACTCTTCGTTAAGTACACCTCCTTGTTTCTACACTCACTGTACATTTTATCAGGACCACTTACCATATAGGTGCACTTTGTAGTTCTACAGTTACAGAAATGTCTTTTTGGATCCACTGAAGCAGCTGTTTAAGGGGCCGTGATTACGTAACGTTGCCTTCCTTCACGATGATATGCAAACACATTTTTCGCAATAGCAATTTAAGGTTCACACAGAATACATGATACAGAAACAACAACAGCCTTTTGCTTATAGTCCATGTTCTCCCTTTAATTTGTTCCCTATCCTTTTTTGGTGTGTTTAATGGTGTTTTCACACTGAAGTCTGAACCAGTGTTCATGTTTTTGTTAAATTATATAATGTTTTTGGTTCAAAATGATTTTTTTATGCGTTTTTCAATTTGACTTCTGACTTACTCGTCAAACCACATTACCAATACAGTTAAATGTTTAGTCTCCTCCTCTCCCCATGTGCTACTGCGGATCATTTTCTTCCAGTTCTTTTTTTATTCTGTCGTTTATGGGTGACCATAGCCTTCCTCAACTGCCTGGAATTGGTCCAAAAGTCCAAACCATCCAAAAAAGTGTTTTCACACTGCAAACAAACCAAACCATGGTTCAGTTTGATCCGGACTGAGACCACCTCTTTTTGGTCTTCGGTGGTCTGAGGCACCTTTTCACACCTGCTATTTTGGTTCAGACCAAACTGTCCAGACCGAAGAAGGTAGGTGTGAAAGTATCCTAAGAGTAAGTAAGTGCTAAGTAGACACTGAGTGTGTTTACATGCACTTAATAATCCGATCATAATTGAGTTTCTGCAGTTATCCGATTATTCAAATGGTCATGTAAACAGCGCACTCCGATTTCTTAGATCTTAGTAAGGTAAAAAGAATGATAAAAAGAAATGGAATTTAGCTCAGTAATCAGATTTATCAGCACATGTAAACTCTTACTCTGATTTCTTTCAGTTTTCTTAGTCTCAGACCGTGGGACCACAAGCAGTGTTTAACACAGCACTCGTTAGTCGGCAACAAAACACTTTTGGAGCGAAGTACAACTACATGCTTGACAAAATGAGGCATGAAGTTTGAGTTTTACATTATGTTTACATCTTGTCTTATTCTGTGAGTTTATTGGCTGGTTGCAGAGCAGAAATCTGATTAATATCTGATTCCTGTAGACCTGGAATTTTCACGTTATCTGATTACTCAAGCACATGTAAATGCGTTGATCGGATTACTGACAAAATCTGATTTACCATAATTACTAGATTATTAAATGCATGTAAACACACTCACTGTTGAACTGTCATCAAGACTGAATTATGTGGGCATTTTCAGCCTCTCAAAGGGTTCAACCCAAATGTTTTTCTTGCTCTGACAGCATTGCTTCTCTCAGCTTTTCATGTCTTGATCACCCAGATACTTTGCATAGTATCTGGGTGATCAGTGGCGATCATAGATTGGCTTCTATGAATCATTCACAGGGATCTGCTGTAGTAAACCAAAAAGACACCAGGTAATTTACAGTTATATAAGATTTTAACAATGCATGGATTTTTTGAGACTTCCTTCTTGACTTATTCTCTAAAACCTTTTGTTTTACTGGCAATGTCTTCACTTCTTTTTCTGCTCCAAAAGCCAAGCTCCGCAGCCCAAGGACTAGACCAGTATCACTTCTCCTCTCCGTTACTTTTAAAATTTGAACAATGAAAAGTGAAGAAAAGACAGGTAGGGGTGGGAGGCAGAAGCTGAAGCCTGTAGGAGGATAAAATAATGCAGTTCTTTGTAGATTTTAGCATAAAGCCTCAGTTATCTTAAAATATGTAACTACTTTGGGTGATTTAGCCTCTTTAGCAAGACTCCATACTTGCTGGCATTTGGTCAGGATCGCGGTAGCCCAACTGAAACAGAATTCTATGCTGAGACGTGGTTGAGTTTCCTGTTTAAAAGCTGCACTGTATACGATTATTTTGTTGAAATTGAAAGTAGTCGCATTACTGAGTCAGGAGAAAACACAGCTAAACTATGGCGTGTATGCGCTGATGCAGGTCACCTTGTAAAACCCAAAATAGTAATTGCACAGGAGTTTTTGGACCACGTCATACGTCTTGTATTACCGTCACATGCACAGGCTCAAAAAGAAAGCCCAGCTTGATGTTTAACGCCAAATACAGCACAAGTTCACTCACTTTATTTATGCCTGTCAGGACTGGACAGAAATCAGACACTCGCAGATTATGATGAGAGGTTTTAATAAAGGGCTTAGACACAAAGGGGTAGTCAAAAACAGTCCAAGTCAGCAACAGTAGTAAGTAGTAAGGGGGCATACCAAAAGATGAAGAAGATAAACAAGCAAAGATCCAAAACCGGTAAACAGAGTCCAAATGGGAGAGGCAAAACACAGAGTCAAAAAACAAGCAAAGGTCAAACAATATAGCCGCAAGCGGCAATCTGCGGGGTCCAAGCACCTGGAAGACCTCGAGGAGTAAAGTAGTGGCCCCTGGTCGTAGACTGCAGCAGATCTTCAGATTTTTAAGAAAGCTCGCCTTTTCCTATGATTAAGGCCACTAGCTGATACATCTGCTACAATCTACGCAACTCATTTTAACATCCATGACAGGGATTTGAACCCACAACCCTAGAGTTCAAAGGCAGAGGCTCTAACGCTGAGCCACAAGACATCTGCGGCAAAACTGTGGTTTTTGAAACAATTTATTGAAAGGACGCAACAAGGAACCACACACCATTTTAGGACAAAGTAGCAGCATAAACAAATTTCATGTCTCTTGACATAGAAGGCAGCAAATCTTTGGATTTTTAAGAAAGACCCTTCATTAAGATAATTAAGCGTGTGTTCACAACAACTGCTACAGCACCATCCAACACCAGTACAGGGAATCAAACCCACGACCTTAATCTTCAAAGGCGGATGTTTTCATGGTGAGCTACAAGAGGCCCACAGCAGGCCTATTTTTTTGAGAGAATTTATCGGTCTAGAGCAATAAGGAACCTAGCACCACCCTATTGGGAATTAGTTTCCACCTTGCAATTACTGTGACTACTGAGTAGTATAATTTCAAACGAAATCATAATACACTGTCAGTTTGTCATTTTGTATATTTGTGTCAAATTTGGTTATATTCAGATAATTATTGGTGTATTTTTAGCCTTTTATGGCAGAATAAGCCAATTCACACCAAATTATTCAAATCTTCAGCCACACTGTGCTTAAGTCATGATATTTTCAAAATGATTGTTTTAAGAAAAATTTAATTTGATTTAAACTCAAGAATTAGTAAGAAATGTCTATTCTCCATCTTTTTTCAACCGTGATATTAATGAAAGTTTTTTAAGACTTGTATTTGCAAAATTGTTAGGCTTAGTGAAAAACATAACATTCAGAAATGCTCTTCGCTTAAAGACATACAGTAAAGCTTTCCACGTAAATGTCAACAATGACGTGCAGTTATTGATTTGGCTTCCTCTGGTGGCCAGAGAAAAATCTGACCAAAATTTGCTGAAATCAAATTATAGGATTTCCTGTACAGTACAACCTACACATTATGCAAAGTGTTAATGTGTCATTAAGATGCATAATTTGAAACAATAATCATGTCTTTATTTTAATCTTAGACAGGAATAATTACATTTTAGATTGTTGGCAGTACATTGAGCATTGTAAGAGCCAACTTAAGCCAATTCAAACCAAATGTCATAGGTTTCCTCAACTGATAATTTTGAATGTATATATCAATTTTAGTCACAATCGGAGCATAAATGACAGATTTGTGGTCCTTGTTTCCGAATAGGCTGGACCGCACTGATTGATCCATAACTTGCAATAACATTGTGCTTAAAAGCCAAGGTTTTTTAAATAATTATTGATCTTGAGACTTTGACAGTTGTTTAGAGACCAAGTTTGAGACGTTGCAAACACATTTCAGCAAGCAGTATGAAAACATCAGTTTTCAAACTCTGATGATTTACAGAAAAACAATAGAGTTTTTTAAAAGACTTGTATAAGCAAAATTGCTTGGCTCAGTGGAATACATAAAATTCAGAAAGTTCCTTTGCCGCAAGATAGATGTTGCAAAGACTATGACCATAAGTATGTTTGAAGTCATAATTTGCATTTAATGCTGATGCTCCCTCTGCTGGGCAGAAAAGATATTACCCTTATTAATTATGTGGCCATCCTGGCTTTAACTCAAATTTCCACATTTCCTGTGCAATTTTGGAACAGACATATACTTGCAATGTTTTAGACGTTAATAAGATGTGTAATTTAAAACCATTATCTTTTCTTTATTTCATTCATAGAAGAATATAAGGACATTTTAATAATTACGCACTAGATTAAGTATTGTAGGGGCTTATGATAATCAATTTAAATGAAACTTTGCATGTTTCATCAGAAAACAGTAGTGTACAAGTTTACCAAGATTTATCACAATCACCTAAAAACTAAAGAATCTATAGCCCCCTAAGTCAGAAAAGGCCAGGCCGAACAGATTCATTGGTGTCTCATGGCAATAAAGTCAAGGTTTTTTTGATAATTATTTACCTACGGACTCCACAGATTGTTTTGAGACCAAAATTGAAACAGTTGTTTTAAAATCCACAGACTAGTTCGAAAAGCTCAATTTTCAAACATTGAGCAATCAAAGAAAAACTTTACAGAATTTTAAAAGACTTGTATTGGATAAAATGTCATGCTCAGTGTAAGCAATGATATTTATTGATTTATTTTGATATATGATAAAATTTATAGGACTTATTCTTGTTTATACTCTATAGCGCCACCTCATGGCCAATTGAGGTCAAACTTTATAGGCTATTAGAGATTGCCTATGTGGACACATGATATAATTTTTGTGATGATTGGCCAATGCTAAGCCCTCCAAATGCCTGTTAAAAGCTTATTGGCCAATGGTGGCCATATTTGTCAAATAATTCTGTTGTCCTTAATAGATCTTGTAAATATTAGGCCATGGATACAGCATGCAAAGTTTCAGCTTAATTGGCCAAGCGGTTGCTGAGAAACAGATTTTTGGCTGTTATAGCGAGGAATCGGTAGTTGTGGAATCGGTATCAACCTTGGTGGGCTTCCACAGAATCATGTGGGGTACAGGACTGATAAGTTTGATGTGAATTGGCCAAAGCATTCTCGATCTGTAGCCATTTATGTGAATTAAGCCAAACCCAGAGGGGCTTAATTGGCACCTGCTGGCCATACTGTTTACAAATATTCAAATTTTTTTTATAGTTCTCGACCTCCAGACTCCCCTGAACATTTTGAGACCAATATTGTGTTGATATCTTGAAAAACCTCAGACTAGTAGAAAAATGTAGATGTCACATATTTTGCCAATTATGATGATAAATTTGGGGGCGGAGCTAAAAACTTGCAGTGGTGCGTTGATGTAGAATAAAGAAAGGATTATCTAGAAGCAAGCATTTTGAGGGTAGCCCCCATGGTTCAGAACATATGGGCAAAAACGTAAAATGTTGCTCTATAGCGCCACCATCAGGCCAACTGGGGTCATTTCAGTTGCCTGAGTAGTGGGGGGGGATCTACACCTACCCTCTAAGTTTGGTCTTTGGATGACTTACGGTGTCTTCTCCACAAACCGTTTTAGGGCAGAAAAAGAAGAAGAAGAAGCAGAAGAAAATTCCTAGCAAAAGCAATAGGGTTCCATGCACCTAAAGGTGCTTGGACCCCTAATAATAATAATAAGAAGAAGAAGTTGAAGAAGAAGAAGAAGAAGAAGAAGAAGAAAAATCCTAGCAAAAGCAATAGGGTTCCATGCACCTAAAGGTGCTTGGACCCCTAAAAACACAAGAAATCAAGCAGACAAGGAACGCTTCGTAATGCTAGAGGGCTAGTCAAAACTTGTCAAAGGACCAAACATCAGGGTGAGAATATATAGGCTAAAGCACAGGTGAAAACACTCAATTATCAGAAGACTGTGAGCGAGGGTAAGTCATGTGACTCTGGTTAGGAGTCATGTGAGAGTCAGCAGCATTATGGGAAATGGAGTCCTGTTTGGCTTGGGAGCCGGAGGGAAGTGTGACAATGCCATAAAACTCCAAAACAAACGTTTGGAGCAAAAATTGGCCCTTTTTGATTGGGCACTACAAGTTACCTAATAAATCCTCCCTGTTTTACAGATATTTTTGGCAAAAAAAATTCTAAATTCACTATAGACATGACTTGTTAGCTGGATCAGATATGTAACAAGAGGACAACAGGGGTACTCAAAGACCGGAGTTGGAAACACTGGACTAAGATACAGGTTTTCAGCAAAGATGAGATAACAATATAACTTACTTCAGCCAGCCTGTTGTTAGCTAGATTATGGTTTATGACACATTTTAATCTTGAGCCTGTCTAACTTCCATTTTTTAACAGTAGACTGACACTTTTAATGTTAGTTTTGGTGAATGCTCTTGGATTGAAACATCATAGCAGCAGCTAACACAGCAGCCCATTATATATATATATATATATATATATATAGATGTGTGTGTTCATACTAGTGACTGTATTCATAGTTATAGTTATTGGTTCATGCTGCCAGGACAGATTGTTAACAAATGTAAGATCTCTTCCTTCTTTGTCTCCAGGCGTATGGATTTGTTGTTTTGATAAATCGAGTTGAAGCCGACCCTATGGATGTGCTAGTGGACCACTGGCCTGACTTTAACGTGCTCCTCATCAGACCAGTACAGCAGGAGGTATGACCCTACAGTGTGAAGCTACATTTGGCCTGTTTATAATAACTTATTGGAAATTAGTTCACCTTTTTGTTGTTTTATTGCTCTGATTGTGATCTTATTGTTGGATTGCTACTCTCACATATAGGAAGCAGACATTTTTAGAGATGTTTGCATCTTTACCAAAGACGATGTTTCCCTCAAGAACGCACTACTTGGGACGGACATTCTTGACTGGACGCAGTACCTCTGTCTAAGTATTCATTTCTGACTTCTTATTATCCCAATATAAAAATGTCCTAACAATTTAATGGGACATTTGACCAGACCCAGATTAAGACACTGTTTCTAATATGCTCTCATCGATGTGGCTTCACCGTCAACCTGGCCATCTCCAATTTTGATATTATGCTCACCTTGTGAAGGGGTGGAGACATCAATATACGATTTAGCAGCAGAACCTACTCAGAAATCAGTCAATCTGATGCAACAAAAACAAAACAAAACAAACAAAAAAAATCAAGTAAAAAATAGCAATGCAATTTCTTGTATTTCAGAACTAGAACATTCGATGTGCTACATTGGGCTTTATGTAACAAACTACTTCATTTGTTATACTTCACTGCTGGTGCAGCTTTGTTGTCTGCTAGCTTGATAGTTAGCAAGCTAAAGACGTGAAACATGCATGCATAATTGTGCCACGACATTGTATAGGTGTAGCAAAAGCATTCAAATACAGAATGAGTAAAATTGCAAAAAGATCTGCCCAAAATAAAAATAAATTGGCAAATTACTGATTTTGTATTTTTAGCAAACATCTGCAGCTCCTGCGCTGTGCTAGCACTGTGTGGCAGTTACTCTTCTTTGAAACCAAAAGCCATAGAAACTTGTGACTGTGATTTTGTCAGCCATAAACAGATCTGCTGTTTGAGCAGACAAGTTTTAAACCTGCTTTAAAACTGTTTCATTAGAAAAGAAAAGGAGCTGATTTTTATCCCTGAAACGATTGTGATGTGGATGCCTGCCTTGAATTTATAATACATTCAGCTAAACCAGCGATAATTGATTTATTTTTACCATTTTCCACATATTAATACTAATTGTTCTATCTAAAGGCTTTTACTGATTAAATTTATTATGATTATTGTGGTTTTAAATTGTATTTGCTTAAAAAAGGGACAAAGCTTCTGAATACTTAATAGAGAATACCAACACAATGAACTGAACGCTAGCTAATGCTTTTAGATAGCAGATTAGCTCACTGAGAGTAGCCTAGCCAAGTTCAAGTTCATTTATATTAATATTTATTCTCACTTCTTCCTGTACCTTGAACTCCCCTACACCCCTTCCTAGCATCCCATAAGTGGCCACTTGTGTAACAGCGTTGCTGTGTACTTCTGAGTCATGAGGCGAGTCAAATTGGCAAAGGCATATTAAAACAGTACTGAAATTTAAGTTTTGACTTCACAGTTCAGACTTTATCACTTTTAAAATTTCCTTAGGTTTTGATCTCTGCTTTGAAGAGAAAGTAAAGGTTGTAGCAGCAAACAGAGGCGTGCCAGAGACCAGACTGGATGTGTGCTACGTGATGACACTGCATGATCCCTCTGACCTTCCAACTGACAGGTAATGTCTTTATTAAGCTTTGAACAGTGCCAGTATTGTTATTGTGCAAGTCCTTCAGCTGAATGTAAAGGGCTCGTCGACTTGTATTTAAATTTTCCTTGAGGTCCACTTTTTTTGTTGTTTTTTGTGCCCCTAAAACAGTCATGATTCATTTGTACATTTTCCAACCTCTCTTCATCCCTTAGAAATAAACAGGCTGTTTTTGTTGCTGAACTTTCATGACTGATATATGTAAATGAGCTCTGTTCTGATTGGCTGCCCTGAATGTCACTTTATTTAAAAAGCAGTATGTGTTAAAACACTCCTCATCACTTTAGCAGGAATGGGTGGAGCTAAAAGCTGTAGGCTGATTGGGTTGATATACAGTAATATGCAAATGTTTGGGTACCCCTGGTAAAATGCCATAGATTTTTACCATAGTTTTCTATGGGGGGTGGGATGGGGTTAAAATGTGGCGTCCTTCAACAAAATGTCATTTGACCATGGGTGTTCAAACTTTTGCACACAACTATACAGAAATTAGTTGCTTTTCATCACAAGAACAATCACTTCAAAATGGGCTGTTTTTTTATATATTAGTTTCTATATATTGACTGTATGAACCGAGGAGTGCAGTACGTTTTGAGACTTTACATACTACAGTTTACTCTTATTTCAAAAAAGCAAGGAAATGTTGTGCATCTGTCCATTCTGGACTGTATAAATGCCTTAAATAATCATCAACATTCAGCATTTTGTTTGTCAGCTTTAAGGTCTGTTTAATCTCTCTTTCCTTAACCACCCTCAGGCTATCAGTACAGGTGTCATCACTCCAGGAGTCTCACACTGCTCTGGTCAACAGTACGTGGAAGTTTGGCAGTGGAGAATTCAGTGAACGAATGATTAGGAACATGATCCTGAATTTCCCTTCATGTTGTGTGTTGGACTCAGATGGTCAGCCAGTGGCATGGATACTGACCTATTGTGACTGTGCAATGGGAATACTGTACACAATGCCAGAGCACAGAAGGAAAGGCTATGCCAAAGCCCTGGTCAGTATAATGGCAAAGAAGCTCCATTCGAAGGGCTACCCAGTGTACTGCTTCATTGAGGAAGAGAACAAGCTGTCTCACAGGCTCTTTGCAAGTTTGGGTTTCACTGAGGACCCATCTTACAGGGTTACCTGGTACAGCTTCAACCAGATGTTTCTCAGTTCACAATGATTTTTTAGTCTTTAATGTTTTTTGTTTTAAAGTCAGTTGCCCTTTTTTCCTGCTAAGTCCTTATCCCTGGTCATATATTAAGCACAAGTCAGTGCGGCCTGGGAAAAATAACATAAACCAATGATATCACGTTTCAGACCCTCAGACGCTTCTTGATATCAGTTTGCTCAGAAAAGCTACACCAAAATGAAACTTCACACAGCACTGTAGAGGGTAAACTTACTGTTAGCTTCACTTTATACACTATATGGACAAAAGTACGGGAACACATCTTATTCATTAAATTCAGGTGTTTCATTCAGTCGCATTGCCATAGGTGTATAAAAGCAAGCACTTGTGGGGTTGTTTTCAGGGGTTGGCCGAGACCCCTTAGTTCCAGCGAAGGGAAATCTTAATGTGTCAGCAGACCAAGACATTTTGGACAACTGTATGCTTTGAACTTTGTGGGAACAGTTTGGGGACGGCCGTTTTCTGTTCTAGCATGACTGAGCCCCAGTGCGCAAGGCAAGGTCCATAAAGGCATGGTTGGGTGAGAAGAACTTGACTGGCCTACACAGAGCCCTGACCTCAACCCCTTTGAACACCTTTGGGATGAACTAGAGCAGAGATTGTGAGCCAGGCCCTCTCGTCCAACATCAGTGTCTGACCTCACAAATTCTCTTCTGGATGGGCAAAAATTCCCACTGTCACACTCCAAAATCTTGTAGAAAGCTTCCCGGAAGAGTGAAAGTTGTTATAGCTGCAAAGGGGGACCAACTCCACATTAATGCCCATGGATTTAGAATGAGATGTCATAAAAGCTTCTGTAAGTGTAATGTGTTAGTATCCCAATACTTTTGTCCATATAGTGTATATTTTGATCCTTCAATGCCAATAAAACTACAAATCAATAAATCTATATTGTTTTTAGGGGTGGCTCAGTACCACTTTTTCATGTCCGATACCGCAACCTTCCGTATTTGAATTATACGCTTGTTTCAGCTGGATCTACATTTCATTTTAATCATGAAAGTGGTGTTGTGTGACACTCTGGTCCATCATGCAGCACATTCAATTCAGCAGCCCAGGCCGACGTGAGAGCTCGCAGGGCAGGCAGCCGTGATAATGCTGCTTTTTCACAATATTAATTTATTAATTTATTGATCTAATGTCTTTTTACTATACTAATACCAATATATTGATATAGACATATCAATATTGATATGAGACGAATTGCCCAGCACTACACTGAATGATAAAATACAAGGTAATGAGTTGATACAGCAGTATTAAACATCTATATTAAATCTACAGTGAAACTGCAGTACTGAATAGGCTCATTACATTCTGAGTGGCATTAACAGGGGCTGTTCCTGAAATGTAACAAATGCTGCCAACTCATACAGTATTCTGAGGCAGGAAGGCACCCAGTAATGTGTGACCCAGTGGTTACTTTAACCTGTGAATGAAAAAAAAGTTAATGTTCCTTTAAAAGTACAGTGCACATATGAGAACCAAGCATGAGAATGAGCTACTTATGTGACACATTCTTATTGTAACCGTCATTAAAACTTTCTGCGACTTGTAGCCTTGTAGCTGACTTCTGTTAGTTTAGACAGCCTTTGTTGCTCTCGCACATCAATATCTTGGGCACCCAAACCCATTCATGGTTTTACCTTCTTTGGACCACTGTCAGTAGGTACTAGCCACTGCTGACCAGGGGCACCCCACAGGCCTTACTGTTTCTGAGATGTTCTGACCCAGTCGTCTGGCTATAACTATTCTTTAAGTGATCATTATGTTTTGGCTCATCAGTGTATAAAGCAGTGAAAAAGTAAAAAAAGTTGATGATAAAAATGTGAGTGAATAACAACATAAAACAACTCGTTCTCAACTGTAGAAGATGGCATTTAGGATAGTATGTTTGGACTGTGTCACTTATTTGAGCAGCAGATGGAAAACATTAACATTGAGAGGGGAATTCCACCGATTTTTACAAAATGTTCAATCGTCATTCAAAAGTCATTTAAAGTGCCCCAACAAAAGAGTCCTGTGGTGTGGGTGTGGTATTCCTGTGGTACTGCCAAAATACAACAAAACATTACAACACAACTTTTTACACACAGCTGATTGTGACAGGATAACCACAGCCCTCCCTGTTTTATCTCATTACAGGAATTATATGACTTGCTGTAATCTTGTGGTTCTTGTGTGGTTTTTACAAAAGAATATTCACCAAGATGTGACTTGCTGTACTTTTGTTCATTTTTAGTGGTAAACTATAACAGGAAGGGTGTTTACAGTAGCAATTTTTAAACCGTTTACAGTACCTTAAAACATGTATACTCATTTTCCCCAATCATTTAAGTTCATGGTAGAATGAGCTTTCATTTATCATTGCCGGAAAATGTCACAGTCACTGTCAGTCACATCCTTGCTCATTTGTGGAAAACATGTCATGACTAGTACAAAGTTGCTTTTTGAACTATTTCCACATCTAGAATTGTAACCAGAGACAAAAAGCTAGCAATCATGCTGGAACAATTTGAACTAACCGTAAATAAAGCTACTTAACATCAAAGCTGGGTACTTTGGAGACCACTGACAACCAAGGCTTAAAAAACCCATACAGTTTTGCAACCAATTACACTTTAATATTAAATACATTTTTAATGGTAAATACATGTTTACATACTCGATTTGAAATCTTTATTTGTTTATTTATTGTTTTGTCTTCTTAGCTCTCGGCCCACCACAAATGCTGCACCTTGGCCCCCCAAGACAAAACATGTGGGCACCCATGAACTAGATGAAGCTGTGGTATGGCTCTTGTCTCTTATTGATAGATTATAAGTCTTGCAGTATCTCCAGGTACTTGGTTTAAAACAATTAGTAGCACCGACCGTCCACTTCATGTAATTTATCTAATCTTTGCCAAAAAACTGTATCTTAGTCCAAAGCTTCCAACTCTGGTCATAAAGTACCCCTGTTGTCCTGTTCTTACACACCTGATCCAGCTAATCAGTCACGTCTATGAAATACACTGATCAGCCAACATTAAAACTACCCTTGTTTCTACACTCACTGTCCATTTTATCAGCTCCACTTACAATATAGGTGCACTTTGTAGTTCTACAATTACAGACTGTAGTCCATCTGTTAATCTTCATACTTTGTAAGCCCCCTTTTACCCTTTTCTTCAATGGTCAGGACCCCCACAGGACCACCACAGAGCAGGTACTATTTGGGTGGTGGATCATTCTCAGCACTGCAGTAACACTGACGTGGTGGTGGTGTGTTAGTGTGTGTTGTGCTGGTCTGAGCGGATCAGACACAGCAGTGCTGCTGGAGTTTTTAACACCTCAGTATCACTGCTGGACTGAGAATAGTCCATTAACCAAAAATATCCAGCCAATAGCATCCTGAGGGCAGCGTCCTGAGACCACTGATGAAGGACTAGAGGATGACCAACACAAACTTTGCAGCAGCAGATGAGCTGTCGTCTCTGACTTTACATCTACAAAGTGCTCCTATATAGTAAGTGGAGCTGATAAAATGGACAATATATATATATATATATATATATATATATATATATATATATATATATATATACATATACATATATATATATCAGGGGTTGCAATGTTTACAGCGCAAATACAGGCATTCGCTTTACTATCCAACACAAAAGTGAACCCTACTGGAAAAAAAACAGCTGGACCAGCAGTTAGTCACCAGCAAAACCAGCACATGTTGTGTTTTGGATAATGGTATGTCGCCCCACCAGCATAAGCATTGGATTCAAGTCAATGTCATATATATCATATATGTACAGTGCCCTCCACAAATATTGGCACCCCTGGTAATCATGAACAAAATGAGCTTTAAAAAATAATTACTTATCCTTTTTATCTTTCATTTAAATATTTGCAAAAATCTAACCTTTATTAAAGGCATAATGACCGCAAGCAAAAAAAAGGCTACATTTGTTACAGAAAAATATTTTTCTTAAACTCTATGATTTACTATGAAGGGGAATTGCGGACACTGGTTAGGTTATGAGGTCAGATCGTCTCTCAAACCACAATCCAACACCACCTATATAACCACATGTTGTTTCGGGAATTGCCATAAGAAATGAAATGAAATGTCTATGTAAAATCTTTCTGTGAGGTAAGTTTAGCTTTTAGAGTTAATAAACGCTTCAGACATCCGGCTACTATCACCACAACTGTGAACAAGTCTTACACCAAATCGCTCTGCATGTCTTTGTTCACATTTTAACGATTTAATAATTTTGGAAAAGTGGGTGGATTTCCCCTTTAAACCAGCGGTGTCTCAGGTCCTGTTAGCCAACATACAGAAGCTTTATCGCCTCAGCCGTTAGTGACGTATTCAACTTTAAACTGAAAACTAACGTTACCGAGTAAAGAAAGCGGGATGTAAAGAACCGGTGAACGGACTAAATCTGAGGACTGAACTGGACTTCAGGAACCAAACGGACTCGGACTTTAAACGGCAAAATGCTGTGAGGTTCACCAGAAAGTTACCGGGTCATTAGCATTTCCGAGATAGCATAGTTAGTGTTTACCGTTAGCCTCGTACATTAACTTAAAGCCTGACTCGGAGCTGTAAATCAGTAACAGCTAAGACGTTGATTATCTTTCTGGTGGATCTTCTCAGCTTGTTTCTGTTCACGGCTGGAACAGAGATTGAACTCGGGCTGCCTGCGAGCAGGAGACTTTAATACAGAGCGATGAAGGTGCTGACCAAAGAGGAGCTGAAGCCGGCAGAGAAGACCCTCAGACTGAACCTGCCGAGGTCTCAGCAGGTCTGTATGGGCCACACTGACCTCTGTGTTTTTCTGGACTATGACAGAAGAAAGTGAAGGCTATGAAAAGTGAGAAATGTCGTTGATGTCATTGATAAATGTCTTTTTTGAGCCACCGAGGCTGCTTTAGCTTTAATATGCTCTCAGAAAAGTTTAGGTCAGTGCATAAAACAGTATACAGGAAAAGATAATAGCCTTTTGCTGATAAAGTTAGTCCACAGTCCTTTTTCTGTTTCTCTCACAGGTTGTTTAAGACTTTCTGTAAGTAGACACTGTTGAATTGTCATCAGGACTGAACTATGTGGAGGTCTTCAGGCCTCTTCAGCTTCCTTGCTTCTCTTAGTTTTCCATGTCTTATAGTTTTCATCAGGTTCTGTGTTTCTATGCGTTGTAGTTAACTATTCAGACCATCTAGGAGTATTATCTCTACACAGGTTTAGCATTTTTAGACAGGGTTTCTTTGTTGGTTCCAACCAAATATGTGTTTTAGTTTTGATGACAAGCTGACAAGAAGTCCCGTGATGTCAGTCAGCCCAAATGCAGGACAGTGTATGAATATAAGGAAAGGGATTTAATGCCTGTTTTGTAAAAATAGCTTCTGTGCACACCAAAAGCATAAACTGAACCCAGAAAAAGTTATAAGCTTCAGTAATATTGTGGCTTTTGCTCAGTCTGGGGGATCAGTGATTACCATAGATTGGCTTCTATGAATCATTCACAGGGAATCTGCTGTAGTCAACCTGTAAGAGAACAGCTGATTTACAGTTATATAGGTTTTTAACAATGAGTGGACTTTATGACGCTTCCTTCTTGGGTTATCACTTCTTCACTCTGTTACTTGTGAACTTCGACCGGGAACAGTGGAGGAAAGACAGGTAGGGATGGGAGGCAGACGCTGCAGCAGGAGGATGAAAGACTGCAATTCCTTGTAGAGCAAATGCATAATAAATGGTAGTTTTAGCATGAAGCCTCCGTTATCTGGCCTCTTTAGCAAGAGTCCATGCTTGTTGGTATTTGGTCAGAATTGCTGTAGCCCACCTGAAACAGTATTCTGTGCTTAAATTCAGTTGTCTATTTAAAGCTGCACTATGTAAGATTGTTTGGTAAAATTGAAAGTAGTAAAACATGCTAAAATATGGTGGTCATGCACTGATGCAGGTCACCTTACATGCAGCTCCGCAGCTTTACATTCTTGTAAAACCCGAAATAGTAATTTCGCAGGAGTTTTTTAGACCAGGCTATATGTCTTTAAGTATTAATGTCACAAGCATAGGCTTAAGAAAAGACCCGGCTCAATGTCTAGTGCTAAAAAACAAAACAAGTGCATGTATCTAGCTCGCTTTATTTATGCCATAAAACTGCAACACAGATGTCTGGAACAAAAATTGTCCAGTTTTGACCTTGTCTGATTCTGATCACACGGCACATTAAGTAACCTAAAGAATACTTCCTTTTACAGATGTTTAATGTTATGTTTAATGTTAATATTTAACATTAAACATAACATTAAAACCACCTCCTTGTTTCTACACTCACTGTCCATTTTATCAGTCAGCACCATTTAGGTATAGTTCATATAGGTGTACTTTGAAGTTCTAGCAGTGCTGCTGGAGTTTTTAAATACTGTGTCCACTCACTGTCCACTGTATCACGCACCTACCTTATTCGTTTGGCCACCTTAAAGAAGTTAAATCAGAGGCAGTCGCTAATCTGTTGCTGCACAGTTTGTGTTAGTCATCCTCTAGTCCTGCAGGCCAGATCAGGCCCACAACACAATTCTCTCCGGCCCACAAAAGTGTTTTAATTTTCTATTAATATTAGCCCATTTCACTGCACTACAGTCCCCAGCATGCACTGCACTTGGGGCAGTCATGGGCTAGAGGTTAGGGAACCAGCCCTGTGACCAGAACGTCGCCGGATCGATCCCTTGAGCTGTCAGTATGTGACTGAGGTGCCTTTGAGCACCTAACCCATACTGCTTCCTGAGCGCCGTGGATAGGGCTGCCCACCGCTCCGGGCAAGTGTGTTTCACTGCACGGATGGGTTAAATGCAGAGGTGAAATTTCCCCATTGTGGGACTAATAGGGGTCACTTAATCTATTCTTAATCTAAGCGTAACGTGCCCCCCGACTCTCCTGCCCCAACAACCGTCTATGGGACAGCGGTTACACCTTAGTTCTATACAATTCTACTTAATTCCACACCAGTCATATCATTTGCAAATGCATTTCAGCTGCAGTTTAACCAATACAAACACTTAATGTTAGTTCAGCAGCTCAGAAACTGAGCCCAAGTCTTAATGAACTTGCAGCAAAGAAAGGATGCCAGGTGTCTAGTTCAAGCAAACAGGTAGGTTTAAAAGACAGAGCATCTGGGGGCATTTAAATTTTAAATATTTGTGTCCATGTAATAATTCAAGGTCTGCTACAAGTGCCTGTATTTTACTGTCTAAGTTTTTGCATATTTTGAATAAACAATTGTCAGTTCAGTTTATAGCACAACATTAATTAAACATGAAGTAAAAACTTTTTTTCTGGCCCACAGATTTATTGAGATTTTTTCATGTGGCCCTTTTACTGGTTGGGTTTAACACCTCTGTTCTAGTCCTTCGTCAGTGGTCACAGGACATCGCCCAAAGGACGCTGTTGGCTGGATATTTTTTGGTTGGTGGACTATTCTCGGTCCAGCAGCGACACTGAGGTGTTTAAAAGCTCCAGCAGCACTGCTGTGTCTGATCCACTCGTAGCACAACACACACTAACATGTCACTGCAGTGCTGAAAATGATCTAGCACACAAATAATACCTGCTCTGTGGTGGTCTTGTGGAGGTCCTGACCACTGAAGAACAGGGTAAGAAGAGGCTAACAAAGTATGCAGAGAAACAGATGGACTACATTCTGTAATTGTAGAACTACAAAGTGCACCTATATAGTAAGCGGAGCTGATAAAATGGACAAAGAGTGTAGAAACAAGGGTAGTTTTAATGTTATGGCTTATCAGTGTATTTCATAGACGTGACTGATTAGCTGGATCAGGTGTGTAAGAACAGGACAACAGGGGTACTTTATGACCAGAGTTGGAAGCTTTGGACTAAGATACAGTTTTTTGGCAAAGATTAGATAAATTACAGCTTACGATCACCAGCCTGTTAGCTAGCTCGTGGCTTATGAGACATTATTGCAACAACTAACATAGCATCCCATTTTATATATGGATTCACTCTAGTGACTGTAGTCATAGTTACAGTTATTGGTTCATGCTGCCAAGACTTAACAAGGTCTTAACAAATGTAGGATTTTGTCCTTTTGTCTCCAGGCGTATGGATTTGTTGTTTTGATAAATCGAGTGGAAGCCGACCCTATAGATGTGCTAGTGGACCAGTGGCCTGACTTTAGTGTGCTCCTCGTCAGACCAATACAACAGGAGGTATGATACTACAGTACGAAACTACATTCGGCCTGTTTATAATATCTTGTGCTGGATTAGCCACAAACGTAAAAAGTAGTTAGTTATCATTTATATTGTTGTTTTATTGCTCTGATTGTGATCTTATTGTTGGATTGCTACTCTCGTATGTAGGAAGCAGATCTTTATAAAGGTGTTTGCATTTTTACCAAAGACGATGTTTCCCTCAAGAACGTGCTACTTGGGACGGACATTCTTGACTGGACGCAGTACCTCTGTCTAAGTATTCATTTCTGACTTAACTGTTTTTATGATTTTTATGCCCAAAGTGGTCATGTGACATGGATGCCTGTTATGAATTTATAATGCATTCAACTAAATCAGCTATAATGGGTTAATTTTTAACATTTTTTAACAATTATTAACAATAATTGTTCTGTCTAAAGGCTTTTGCTGATTAAATGTATTATGATTGACCTAAACATAACCGAAAAATAACTAAATAGAGACATATCAACATAATGAAGTTGAATAATTTAAATTATTCAAACCAGTCCTACAAAAACATAAAAAGACACAGGTGTTTTAACCTGATGCTTTTAGCTTGCTAATTTGCACACTGAGAGTAGCCTAGCCAAATGCAAGTTCTTCCCCCCACCAACATCTCACAAGTGACCACCGAGTCATGAGATGAAGTTGGCAAGTTAAAAACAGTACTGAAAATGAAATTTTGTCAGACCTCACAGTTCAGACTTTGTCACTTTTAAAATTTCCTCAGGTTTTGATCTCCGCTATGAACAGACAATAAAGGCTGTAGCAGCAAACAGAGGCGTGACAGGGACCAGAATGTCTGTGTGCCACATGATGACCCTGCATGATCCCTCTGACCTTCCAACTGACAGGTAGCGTCTATATTGTGTATAATGTTTGATGTCTGGTAAAGGGGCATGTTTTGTTGAATTTCTAAGTGAAAATAAATGAACACATTCTCTACAGAGAACACACTTCTGCAGAATTGTTGTTTATTTGCTGAATGTAATATATTGGGGTAAAAAGAGAAAAGGTTATGACACAATTCATAGCGTAATTTATATTTTCCGATATGTTAAACTCAGCAAGTAAATAGAAATAGTGCATAGAAATTAGCAGGAAATGTGTGTCCCCTGTAGAGGATGTGTTTATTTATTTTACCAACAAAATGGGCTGTTTTTGTAGTTTAGTTTCCATATAGATATCTGGACTGAGGAGTGCAGTATGTTTTAAAACTCCACATACATGTTTTTAATTCCAAAAAAGTGAGGAAAATTTGTGTTTTCCATTCTAAACTTTACAAATGCCTTAAATACATTCAGCATTTTGTTTGTCACCTTTAAGGTCCGTTTAATCTCTCTTTCCTTAACCACCCTCAGGCTATCAGTACAGGTGTCATCACTCCAGGAGTCTCACACTGCTCTGGTCAACAGTACGTGGAAGTTTGGCAGTGGAGAATCCAGTGAACGAATGATTAGGAACATGATCCTGAATTTCCCTTCATGTTGTGTGTTGGACTCAGATGGTCAGCCAGTGGCATGGATACTGACCTATTCTTACTGTGCAGTGGGAATACTGTACACAATGCCAGAGCACAGAAGGAAAGGTTATGCCAAAGCCCTGGTCAGTATAATGGCAAAGAAGCTCCATTCGGAGGGCTACCCAGTGTACTGCTTCATTGAGGAAGAGAACAAGCTGTCTCACAGGCTCTTTGCAAGTTTGGGTTTCACTGAGGACCCATCTTACAGGGTTACCTGGTACAGCTTCAACGAGATGTTTCTCAATCCACAGTAACATGTTAGTCTCTTGGTTACCCTTTTTACCCTTTTTTATTTCATATCCCCATGGTTTCTGAGTACTGCTGCTTTTTATGCTTTACTCCAACAGATTGTGATACTAATATCCTGATATGAACACTACCCTGAACGATACAAAATAATGAGTTGGTACAGCCTCTGTCTGGATGAGAATAAAAGTTAATAATGCTGATGCCAAACATCCATATTAAATCTAACATGTGACAGCAGCACTGTATTGGCTCATTACATTCTGAGTGGCATTAACAGGGTGATACAAGGAATCCTGTGCAAAGCCTTAAGTCTGTGATTTCCTTTATAAGCAGGGCTTAATGAACAGTGATGAGTAAAAACAGCTCATTTTGAAGCCTTTAAAGGAGTAAACTTGTGTCCTGTTTTTTTGAAGTAACACCTAGAGCTCAAACGTCCTTCTGATCTTGTTGATTGTAGAAGTACATTTTGAAAGACTACAAGTGGACTGTTCATATACATATATATATATATATATATATAAATAAAACTTAAAATACATATTTTTTTTGCTATCAAATATTCCTTTAATGAAGAAAATGTTTAACAGTTTAAGTTTGTGCTTCATCACTAGTTCCTCTTTAAGTAGTGAGGGTTGTTCACACACAGTGGATTCTCACAGACAGTATAAAAACCCACCCAGATCAGCCGTTTCATTAACAGTTGTATGCTCAGCAGTTCAACCTCAGATGAAAGCTGCAGGCAGTACAAACAAAATGCTAACAGTGATAATTAAACTCAAAATGCTAAGAGTGATAATTAAATGTTTTCTGTATAGTTAAAAATGAACAGTTTCAGTGAAGTGAAATTTACATGAGCTCAAGTCTGCTATCAGGCTGTTAATTTAGCCTCTGTTTCCTCCTTGGATATGGCTCCACTTGTACAATGACTACCTGCCAAAACACTTTGGGTCACATTAGAACAACAGCCGAACCTTCCAGCACAGGGTGGATACTGTCTCACTTGTAAAATACAGGCTAGCCTGCTAAAGTAAACCAATCATCCTTAGAGGCCACACAGTTCTCTGAGCACCACTTACATAGTCAGCACTTCAACACTGATGATTATCTAACGTTTGCTCTGTGAGCGTATTACAGAGGATGATCATCAGGAAGCCATGAGGAAATGTCTGAATTGCTGCTTAATAAGCACTTGGACTGCTTAGCCAGATAGTCTGAAGGTTCCTTTCTGAAGGTTAATTTCAGGGGAAAATCTTCTTAAATAGTACCTTTGTTGATTGTGACATCAAGGATTTAGAGAAATACAATATTAGTCTGAAGGATGATAAACAAAAGACTCACAAACATTATGAAAAAAAGAAACCTTCAGCATTTACTGTCACCCAAAAACGCACTTTATTTTTTAGAACAAATCTAAAGAAAAACGTCAGGCACATACCTGCCAGAACTACACACGGTGTAGGCAGAAGTAAAACAAATCTAGTTCAAACACCCCAGTGGTCTGTTTTAATGTGGGTAATATCAGCGTTTGGAGAGGGGTCAAAGACCAAGTCTTAAAGGTGAATACCACTGATTTCTTTAACATTTCTGCACAGTTAGGTCTTTAAAATATAAACAGTCACTCAGAGCAGTTCAATGTGAAATGTGCCTGTTCACAGCGGTCATGGTAGGAACCAGATGTCCAAAGCATTTAATCTCACAATAAATTTACATGAAATAGTTATGAAATCATTGCATATTGCCTGAGACACTCTTTTGTGATTGCTTTGAGAAGGAATATTTAAGTACTCCGAAATAAGTACTCCTAAATGTATTTTAGTCCAAATGTATGTAAGTCCATTCATGGCAGAGATGGGCATTGCAAGGCCAAATAATACCCTGTTTTTCTAATCTCCCATTGCCAGCATTGCATATAACAACATAAAAGACGTGTGGGTTCACTGGTCATTTTTGACAGTCAAAAAACAGCTGTATTTGTGTTGTAGACATCACAATTCCTGGGTCCTACCACCACAAGTGTAAAGAAATCTGAGTCATTAAGTTACTTTACAATTAACTACTTCACATCTAAACACTTTGTTTACATCTCAAGGATTAAATTACACAGAAATTTTGAAAAATCAGTGGAATTCCCCTTCAACATCTCCTACAGTGGCCTTTGTAAATTTATTGGAATAGCTGAACTTGTAGCATGGAGGATCAAAGTCAAGTAGTGCATATTTCTCACATATACAACAAAAAATGCAGGTAAATAAGAATATTATAAACACTACTTTATACTGATCTCGTGTAGCAGGGGGTGGTACCAATTAGAATTTCGGTATCGGTATATATCACGGTATATACATTTTTTCAACTAAAGCCATTTTAGTTGCTTAAGTAAACATATTTTTAAGATAACAGTGGCTCACTATTCTGGGATGTCCCTCCACTTTTTAATTGGAACCATTTTTAGCAAACAAAATAAATCTGAAATGTTTTTATTGTGCAAAATAGTAAAAACAAAAGTGAACAATCTATAGATTGTTAGTCAGTACTGCTTTCTAACACTGGCTCAATGGGCCAGACAAAAGCAGTGCTAAATGTTGTTTCATATCTTCATTTCTACAAGGCTGAAGTTGGCCTCTTATTGGGCAGCTTATTATTTGTTTGAATTTTCACTTCAGCTTAAATGGAGCAGCATATTCTGGCAACTGTACAGAAAAGGAAATTCAAATAAGAAGCCAACTTCAGCTTCATCACATTTCTGAAGTCATTGGTGTCATACGTGCGTACCGTACACTTGTGCCTATGAAACGTCAGACACTGCAGGAATTTGGAAAACATTACAGTCATTCAGTACAGCTGGTCCACGGCTTGGATGCACAAACCCTAAGAATGAGGTCAGAAGCAGCTAATCGCATCAGGTGGCTCCTTTTTGGCACAATGAAACTAAACACAAGTGCACAGGTGTCCATCTTGGGCTAAGGATAATCCCCCCAAAACGGCCATTTCTTTATGTTCGCTGCCTCGGAAACTGTATAACGGTTGCGACCAAACTCATACCTGAGGAATAATTTCAACCAATATACAGCCCACTACTAATCTCACATGTTTTTTTTATAAACCTAAAACCGTAAAATATCTCTTAAAACCTCCACTGAACCTGGAAGCTACAGTTCCACATTAAAGGTTTGCAAAGTTCGGGTTACACGTCCTTCTCCTTATACTCCTCTAGACGGAAGAGCCATTTCTCCCAGTACTGCGTCACCTGCTCCGCACTCAGACGATGAGAATGGGCTGGGGAGCCATCTTTGTAGGCAACTACAATCAATCCATTTTCTACCTGCGGACAGAGAAAGAAGATTTGGAGAGCACAAACCATGAGTATGAACATGCAGTGAGTATGTACCATGTAATAATGAGGACTGTCATGGCTGAACTTCTTAAATGCCTGTCTGCGCCCTTCAGTCTGCCATTCGTCATTAAACTATAATTTAAGAATAATTCAGTTTGCACTGTTTTCTATGTAATTACTGAACAAAAAGCAACAGGATGTAATAACCCTGGGGCTGTAAAGTGTTACTCAGTGATCCATCATTGATCAGATTTAACCTACTGCACTTCATATATGGATTAAAGTGTAAACAATATAATCCATACCAAAAAAAAACATGATTAGTTATTAGTATCAGTATGAGCCACACAAGATGTTAGTTGTTGGTTGTTATTAACCTAGAAATTCCACATGCATCTATATTACTATATCTACCTGATAGCTGTAGTTGTTGTCACTGTTTAAGGCCCCTATGTAGGCAGCCACTTGCAAAGGATTATCGTACGTGTTATGAAGGAAAGGCTTAGGCTTCTCTGATGTCTTCCAGTCTATAACACACAAGGAACCCCTGTGTAGAAAAAAGACAGAACATTTTTATGGTATTAAACATCAACACAACAGAAGCTAAACTGCTGCTTATCATTAGAATTCAGTCTATGGGCCATATGTGAACATTTCAGGGTCATCAGTAATCTAGGATAAATTGAGTAATCTTCCAACAATAACATGGACTTATCAATAACATATGCATGCATGGCCTTTCATAGATCCCAAAATATCTAATTTAAACACCTTTTTTCAAGATGTTTTTAAGCATGCTGTTAGCCCCACCCTGATGAGATGACTGACAGGCTGGGAAGTCTGTGAAAATGAAAAAGCAAATGGTTGAATTCATTTTCAAAGGCATTTTGCCACAGAATGAGTGCGGTAGGCGAGAATATGCTATTACAAATTATTTGTATTTAACATTTGATGTACTTTGCTGCACTTAAGTGAGTTGTTCACTTGAACTCAAAGCTCTCTTTGTAGTCAAACATGCAGTTAGGAGGTTTTTTGTAGCACTGATGATATCCATAATATACTCAGAGAAGCATATTGTGACATTGTGACGTAAATCATCATGATAATAATAAATATTGTAATACTGTCCAGCTGTAGGCAGAACGTTTCATTAGAATTAGCACTGTTTACATCTCAACTAAATTTTGAACAATGGAAGGAATTTTAAAAGGTGGCACTATTTTATAATGTATGTACGATCATGTAAATGGCCAAAGAATCTCTACTAATTCATAGAAAAGGCTAATTTTGAACTGATTTGTTAAATCACATTTGATCAATTAATCATGACAGCCCTGTCAAGAAAAAAACACAAAACAAAACAAAACAAAGAGTCATGTGTCACAGCAATGACAGGTTCAACACAAAGCACTCACCTGTACATGGCGACACAATCCATAATGCCCAAGTATTTCAGTGACTGATGTTCCACAACACTCTCAATGGCTCTGACCCCTGTGACATCCTCCAGCACATGACTGATGCTTTGCAAATACCCAGCGACTTCATCTGGACACTCTGGACACTCCACATCTTCTTTTGGGGGGGTTTCTTGAGTTAAAGCTGCTTCAATAGCAGCATGGAAGAGCTTACCCTGCTTAAACAGATCTAAAAAGTAAAACATACATGGGACATGGATAAACAGATTTAATAAAGGAGACAGCAGTGACACAGGCAGTAAAGGAGAATTCCACTGATTTTTGAAAATTAAAGTAATTGAAATTAAAAAGCAATTCAGAGTGGTTTGATGTGAAATGTTCTGTTCTAGAGGAACTTAATGACTCAGCGGACTCAGAGCTGTTCACAGTGGTGGTAATAGGAACCAGAAGTCTAAAGAGATAAATGCCTTTCAAAGCTCCCTCACAGAAAGCTGTTGCTTGAGATGATTATGAATACACTGCCTGATTCCTGATACATTCCTTCATGAAAAAGTTCTGCTTTTTGTTTTTGGCCTAAAGTGATGGAGGTATACATTCAGAGTCCTGTAAGGCAAAGTAGTCCCCAAAAAAACTTGTTTTTTCAGACTTATTACTATTTTACCATCATTAACATTACATAGACAAATTCAGCAGATAGGTGTAGGTTTACTGGTGGTTTTCTGGATAGTACATAAAATTGCTGTATTTGTGTTGTAGAAATCGTGGTTCCTGTTAACACCGCAGTGAAGAAATCAGAGTTGGTACATTTCACATCAAACCACTCTGACTTTGGTTACATCTCAAGGACTGAATTAGGCAGGAATTTTGAAAAATTTGGTGGAGTTCCCCTTTAGGGATACAGTAAAGTGGCTCATACTCATGCTGTACTCCTTGAAGCCTTCCTCTCCCAGCTCAGCAATCTTCCTTCTCTTCCACCTCTCCAGGTAGAACAGCTGGCTGGCAGACATGGTCTTCTGCAGTACCTTGGTCACGCTGGGCAGAGCGGGCTGGTCCGAATTTCTCTGCAGAGCTATTCGGGTCATCGCTCCTTCTTCGTGCTCTGACCAGATGCTGCTCTTGGCTTCGTTCAACAGCGGACACGGATTTTTAAGCGTTTTTTTGGGCGCCTGTCTCGGTTTGGATCTCACAACGGCCCCGAAGAGCCGGGCGTCTTCGCTTTCAATGCTCTCCGGGGTCTGTGCGCTGGTTCTTGTGGACACCACGGCCCTGACCAGTGAGGAGTAATGCTCTGAGTCCACACAGCTGTACTCACTGCTCTTTTTGCGCGCGCACAGAGCCGGCAGAGAGGAAAACGAGCGTCGGAGAGAGAAAAGTCCAGAGCCGAGACCCGCGCGGGCCACAGACAGAGAGCACAGCGCACACACGCGCATTATGACGGACCGTTTAGAGGCGAAAGCTTTTCAAAAACACTCTCGCAAACACGCCGTGAACCCAGCAAACTTCTCTCGGCTCACGCCACAACAGTTCCTTTGAATGTGACACTACCGAGCTAGTAGGGAATTGTAGTACTAGAGCTGCTCAAAACACCTGCAGCTTCCTCTGTAAAACTACATTTCCCATGAAGCCATTTCACGTACTGGTCCGAATCCCGGGCTTCAAACTAGAAGTTGCCCCAAACAATCGTTCCGGCTGATCTAGTTTACTTTTTCATTATTACTGTTTGCACAATAACAGAATAACAGTAGGACACATTAAAGCTCAGCTGAATAATAATGACCAAAAAATAAATAAATAATGAATTTATTTGTGAAACAACAACAGAGGAAAAAGAAAAGAAAAAAAAAAAGAAAAACAAAAAAGAATACCTTTTGGGATTCATCTAAAACTGAAATGCTTTAAAAATAGCAATGGATTTACAAAATTTCTCATTTTAGATATGTAATTACAGATCTGTGTGGGCAAACGTCATATGTGAAGGTATTTTTCTAGTCTAGTTTAAAAGAACATAAAATTAGCATATAATATGTTATTTGTTGTGTAATACAGTGCTCTGTAGTGCAGTATTGCATCCCCAGGCTCGTCAGTTTGACAGAATTCAACATATTTGTATTATTTTGTGATTTCGTCTATCACTACAATATGAGACAGAGGCTAAAAATACAGTACAATAATATTCGGCTTCTGAGCTGTAATGTTACATAGCTAGTCCTTCTGCATGAACCAACTAGCATTTGAAAAAACAGACCGTCTTTTGATCTAGAGCCCTTTGTAGTTTTTTCCCCTCCCACCTTCAGAATACATCACCATAAGATGGGTTTTCTGGTCTTTAAACTAGAAAATCTCATTCTGTGGACTTTTGTGGCACCATGGTAGAAGGTGTATAGGTTTGTTTACAACAGATAAACAACAAGCAAAAATGTTCATTTTGGCCAAAGTGCCTCTTTAAGGTTTGAGTTTTTATCACTTTATATAATTTTATCCTTTTGGGCAGATGGGACTGCTAACTTTTAACAAAACATAAGAAAATCCTAATTCGATTGTGAATAAATGTATGAAATTGCACCTAATCAAAAATCTTCAAATGCTTACCTGTTAGATATTCAGGTAAGGAATAATTATACAAATTGTCATCCTTTAGAACAAGTTCTGTATCATTTATCCAGATCATTCTAAATACAGCTGTTGGACATAAAAGTGTCAAGTAAAAAGTATAAATACAAAATATAAAATATTAAAATACTCAGAGGTATAGTGATTAAAAAACAAATGCATGAGTTTGTGAATGAGTATTCTGTAACTTTGTTACCAAGCACAAGAAGTAACACAAAACATTTACAAAAATGTGGCTGAATTTAGAACCTGAACGAAAGTTAAACACTGATTTAAATTCAAATCTCGGTTGTGAAGAACAGGTGAAGATAAAAACTTACCCATAGTATTTCCTCACGCTTTTTTACTATTTTCACCATCACATATAAAACTCAGGTAGGTTTACATTGTAAACATTGCAACTCCTGGTTTCTATCACCACCACTGCAAAGAAAGTCAAGCCGGTAGGTCTAGCAATTTCACACCAAAACAGTCTGACCGATTTTGTTTACATTTAGTTTACATCGTAAAGATGAACTTCTGTACAAAATTTGAGAAATCGGTGGAATACCCCTTTAATTGATGTAATGTACTCCAGTTCAGTAGGGGGCGATAATGCGCCTCCTCGTTGCTTTGCCTGCTTCCATTAAACTCCACAGAAAAAGTAAAGCGCCCCCTTTGCTGAGGTATCGAAAGAGAAAAGTAGCAGAAAATAAGTGAGAAAACTGAACTGCGCGCTTCTAACAGGCACAGAACGCAGTCATACTGCCATGACAGCCCTCTCACAGGACAGCGACAAGGAGAAGGTAGGCCGCGCCGTGTCGCCTCGGTGTTTATCAGGGCTGTGAAGCTCCCGCTGACCTGTTAGAGTGGGAGTCTGTCTGTCTGTCTGTCTCTCTGTGTGTCTCTCTGTCTGTCCGGGGAAGTTCGCTGGTTTTCAGCGCTGAGCTGTTGAACTTGGAGGCTGTTACCGTTAAAGAAGGAGCAGCTGTACAGCAGCGCAGCGCACCGCACAGTATCTCATCTTATATCAGTTAAACAGTAACGACAGCCGTCGGGTTTTTCTGTAACGTGTTCTCCTTTAGCTGCTCTGTTAGCCACAGGCTAACTAACTGAGGTAACTATGTAGTCGTGAATTCTGTTTTTTCCTAACTGCTGACCTGAACTCGTGTCCGGCAGCTGCAGCTAATTGGCATCTGCGACTTACAGGGACAGTTTTATCGATATGTGTGACGAGTATAATCGATCTCTCTAACGAATTGTTTTTTGAACAGGTAATTTTCAGTAAACTGAAATTTCCCGAGCCTCTAAGGTGGCATAGTGATTATTTTTTAATAAGCCGTGGCCGCTAATTACTGTATTGAGGCCACGGATTAGTATATTGAGGGCACGAGTTAAGTTTCTCATAATCTCTGTCCTAAATATATTTATTTGTGGCCTCAATATAGCAAATTGTAATTATTTTTAATAAACCCTGGTTACAGATTACTATATTGAGGCCACAGATTGCTCTATTGAGGCCACAAATTAAGATATTGAGGGCACACGTTAAGTTTCTCATAATCTGTGCCTAAATATATTTATTTGTGGCCTCAGTATAGCAGATTGTGGCACCAATATATTATTTGGGGCCCCAATATATTCATTCGTGGCCATATCTTATTAAAAATAGTCACCATGTTACTGTAAAGGCTCCAGAGAAATTACAGGGGAAGTCAACCGTTTTTTTCGTGACTTCCTTCATAATTCACTCTTTGACATGTAAGCAGAGTCACTCAGGGTGGTTTGAGTGAAAATGGTTCATTGTAGTGATTCCTTAACAGTGGTGCTGATAGGAACCGGGGTTGCAATGTCTACAACACAAATAGAGCCAATTTATTCATTTTATTTACTAAACAAAATGACAAGTGAACCCACACCTTTCATCTGGAGTTTTATTTATAATGTCGATAATGTTAGAATAGTGGTAAATCTAAAATTCTTTGCCTTACAATGGGAGCATTGCCATGACCGTTATCTCAAAACTGTCGGTAAACAGTGTCTCAGGTGTGAGGCGATGTATCCGTTTTGTGAGAGGCTTTTAGAGGCTTTAAACAATGAGTAACATGATAATGAGTTGCATCCAATGTGGTAATTTAAGGTTAAAAGTAAATTTCAGATGTCCAGGAGCAGGAATGGTGGTGACCACCGCCTCTGTGTTGTGTTCCTCTGTTTACCTGTTATTAGTCACTAGCTTGATTGACTTGTATGTCTAGTTAGTTTCTCTAGTGAGAGTCTAACACTCTTTAGTCAAAGTCCAGTAATGAGTCTGGGGGATTTTCCTTATTTGGGTCGTAGTTTCTTCACAACACAGGACATACAGCGTTGCAAAACTGTCAGAATATCAACATTAAATTATTGATCAGTGTTAAATAACATTTAATGTATCGTGCAACTCTCTTCTGACACGTTTACATCTGTTTTTCTGTGAATCTATTCAGGAAATAGCACAGCAGTTTTGAACTGGCAGAATGAAGCAGCAAAACAAAAGTGCCACATTTACAAAGGTAAAATTAGACAATTGGTGTAAATATGTAAAATAATGGCATAATGGACTGACTGGCTGTGCAGTTTAAGTTGTTTCTATGCACTGATTGTTCATTACAGGCTCTTTATAATTGATCCAAATCTGTTTTAATGAGCTGCAGTTCTAGAAGTCCTACCGATACTCGCATGTACTCAGAAACATAAACTGTGATGTAACTTATAAAGATAATGATATCGTTGTATGTTCCACCCCTGCATTATATGGCCAAAAGTATCTGAACAGCCCTGGCTGAAACACCTGACGCTAACACCCGTTTCTATCAGGTGTATAAAGTCAAACACACAGCCATGCAATGTCAATAAACAAACATTGGCAGTAGAAAGAGCTCAGTTACTTTAAATGTGTCACTGCCATAAGTTGCCACCTTTGCCCCAGTCAACAGTAACAGAATCGCCTAGAAGCAACAACAGCTCAGCTATGATGCAGTAGACCACACAAACTCGCAGAGCTGGGCTGAAGCACGTGATGTAAGAAACTGCATCACTGTATTGAGTTGCATCACTCACTACAGAGTTATAAGCTGCCTCTGGAAGCAACATCAGCAGAAGAACTGTGCATTCAGAGCTTCATGAAATGGGTTTCAATGGCTGAGCAGCTGCACACAAGCCTAAGATCACTATGTGCAGTATCAGGTGTCCGATGGAGAGGTTTAAAGCACTGAACTCAGGAGCAGTGGAAGCGTGTTTCTCTGGAGGGATGAAGCCCACCCCACTATCTGGCAGTCTGATGGACCAGTCTGGGTTTGGCAGATGTCAGGAGACATCTGACCAGAATGTATAGTCGCAACTGTAAAGTAAAGGAGGAATAGTAGTCTGAGTGTCACAGGATTTGGTCCACTTAGTTCCAGTGAAGGGTAATACTACAACATATAAAGACATTTTTAACAACTGTATGTCTCCACACTTGGAGCAGTTTGGGGAGGCCCTTTCCTGTTCCAGCGTGACTGTGCCCCTGTGCACAAAGCGAGGTCAATGGACATGGTTTGGTGAGTTTGCTGTAGAGGAAGTCCAGTGGCCTGCACAGTGCCTTGACTTCAACCCCATTGAACGTCTTTGGAATGAACTGAAACGTCGATTGACAATCACGCCTTCTAGTCCAACATCAGTGCCTGACCTCACAAACACTCTTTTGACTGAATGGGTACAAATTCCCACTGACACACTCAAACATCTTGTAGAAAACCTTGTCTGAACAGTGGAGGCTGTTATAGCTGCAAATGGGGGCAACTCCGTATAAATGCTTTTGGAATGGGATGTCCAGCAACTTCATGTAGATGCAACCGTCAGGTGTCCACATACTTTCGACATACAGTGTATGTTAAAATCGTACTAGTACTGTTATTTAGTATGCAGAGTTCAATGGACTGTTTATAAAACTGCAATTACATAGTTACATTAGCTAATTATATTAGTAGCACGATAGCTTAGATGTAAATCTGATTTTCTAATAAATAGTTTGCACTATAGAACGAGTGATATGAAGGCCATATGAAAGCAGCACAGATCAGTACTGTTTATATTATGCTAATATTCTTACTGCTTATAATACATTTTGCAGAGATTTGAATAATGAATAAAATGAATTTATTTACAGTTCTGTGGTGAATCAACATTTTACAATGCAGGCTACATTCAGGAGTGACTCATTAATTTTCTGTGTTTCATTAGAGAGGGACTGTGGTGTCTCTGGATTGGGGTTTTTTTTTGGCATAGGAAGTAGGAGCTGGACCGCTAGTGCTAATGTTCGTTTTCCTCATTCGAACCCCTGACGTTGTTGAGCTGGCTCCAGTGTTTTGCTAACTGCTGCCCAAA